GTCTCTACAAGAACTATGGATTGGTCTAGGCTGGGGCAGAGGAAGGCCAAAAAAGGGACTGAAGGGACCTTGGGGATACCCATGGGGAGAAGAGTTGACCGTGGGATCTACAGGGTTATAGGAGGATTCCTCCTGTTCTGGGATGGCTGCTCTGGGGTCCTCTTCTCAGAGCTCTTGAGAGAGCTGCCCTGCCCCTCATTACTGAAGAGGAGCTGCTCAAGCTGTTGGGGTGTTTAGTGTAGCCACTGTCTTTCAACTTCTGTCCAGAAGTGCTCCTGTGGAGAGAGAAGGTGGCTGAGGCCTCCAGCTGCCGCTGGCACACAGAGACCCTCCTGCACAGCAGGGCCCAGAGCGGCCAAGGCTCCCCAGCACGGCTGCAGCTGCTGGCACAGCTTGGCCCAGCTGCAGAGCTGCCCCTCAAGGCCCCGGCGAGCAGGGGATGGCTCTGGGCAGGGTCCCTGGCCAGGAGCAGGCCCCAGAGCGTGTCTGCCTTTCAAGGGCAATCTCTTCCCTGCTCTTTCTTCCACCCTGCCTCAGTCTCACTGAGAATATTTCCTGTCTACAATAGACTTTCAAAAGAAGCTGTTTGAGGGAAAAATGAACAAAACACTCACCGTTTTCTCTTCCAGGCATAGCAGATTCCAAAGCAGAACAACATGAAGATAAGTTCCAAACAAAGCAGGCCTGCTATTATCCCTAGCCAACAGAGTGTTCCCTGACAGAAAGCCCTTTCAATGCCCTGGGAATCAGGAACATGAGTTGTGGTGCCGGCTCCATCTACGGAAGCAATGGGCAGTGTGAGCCCGTGCTGTGCTCTGCTGCTGAGCTGGCAGCAATCTGGATATGGTCAGGACATTCTCTGTTTGCCCCAGAGCTGGGGCCTGCAGGCACCTTGCTGCCCCTTGGCACAGGCTGTGCCACCCAACAGAGCCCAGAAGGCCGGGAGCACAGCCCAGGGACAGCGCAGCCGCTTGGGCAGTGGCTTCTTCCAGGGACTCAGGCCAAAGCCATCCCTGAGCAGCCACAGCCACCCCTGACCCTCCCTTCTCTGTGACAGCTCACCCAGCCCAAGGGGACAGAGCCAGGCCCTGTCAGGAGCCAGTGCAGGCCGTGCCCAGTTGGGAGCCAGGGCTGGCTGTGGCCCTGGGCTCATGGCAGGGCTCATGCGTGGAGCTGCTCCTGTGCCTTGGGCCTCTGGGCACTCAGGGCCAGCTCTGGGAGCAGCTGCAGAGGGAGTGATGTTGGTGCATGAGTCCCATTTCCCAAGGGCTGGGAATGAGCTCCAGAGGCCTCGGAGCTGAGGCACCTCCAGCTTTGGCTGCCGCCGCACTGTGCAAGGGCCAGCCCTGGGGGGAGAGCTGCTGGCACACAGCCCCGCCGAGGGCTGAGCCCAGCACAGCAATTACCTCCTGTGTCTGGGCCTGTGCCTGGCATCGCCTTCTTTCATGCAGCAGAGTCTGGCACAGAATCTCTGCTTCCTTCAGGAATGGTTTCCTGCTGCACAGGCTCTCGTTTCATTCCTGGAGAATGGAAGAGGGAGAGCTGGATCAGATGGGGCTGTTCCTCATTGTGGAGGTGCCATCTTCAGGAGGCAATATTTGTGAAAGGCGTGGATAAGGATCAGCAAACATGCAGGATTTCAGGATTGTCCCAGGTTGGTCCCTTCTCCAAACAGTCCCAAGACCTGATCTAGCTGGAGACTGAGAAATTGCAGGGGATCTCAGGGTGTGCATGGCCTGTGCTGCAGTTTGAGAAATTGCAGGGGATCTCAGGGTGTGCATGGCCTGTGGTGCAGTTTGGGACTCCCTGTCAGGTGATGCCAAATGCCTTCCTGCAGAGGCTGGGGAGAAGCTGCAGCCAGGCCAGGCTGGGAGACAGCCCTGCAGGCTGTGAAAGCATCAGCGGGGCCCAGGAGCCCCGGCAGAGGCAGCAGAGCAGCGCTGCCCCCAGGGTCACTGCCAGGGAGGACAAGGTGAAGGCTGAGCACGGCTCAACCTCACGCAGAGCTAAGGTGGGATCTGGGCTGCTCTCTGGCAGGAGGAAGGGTCTTGTGCCAGCCCAGAGAGCCTGTGCTCATCCCCAGGGAACAGTTCTGCCCTGCATGTGCCCCCTGCAATGAGCTGTGCTGCTGCCAGTGCCCCGTGTAGCTGTAGGGCTGCTCAGCTGTGGGGCAGGGACAGGAGCAGGAGGCTGCATGTGCAGCTGAGCCATGGCTGCAAAGCCCAGGGCTCTGGGCTCCCTGCTGTCCCAGGCCAGCCCAGAGGCCAGGGGGTTCCTGTGGTAGCTCTGTGCAAGTGGGACAGGGTTTTCCCCCTGGCTCACTTCAAGTGGCTGCTGGCAGGAGCATGTTTCCCTGTGCAGCTATTTAGAAGTTTGCGGGAAGTCTGTCCCATGAAATATGGAGCTCCAGATGTTTTAGGTTTGCATTGTGGCCTCTGTTACATTTTGTGTGTCCATTTTGCAGACCTGAATGACTGCAGTGGTCCCAAGGAAGTTACCCTGGCGTCAGAAGTTTCCTTGCCGATTTCCCAGATGCTCTTACCTTCCAAGGCCTTGCCTTCCATCTAGAATTGCCTTTTTCCCTCAAAGGCCTTACCTAACTCTCCTTTATTTTTAAGCTGACCATTCTTCAGGGGCAAAAAATCCTGATTTAAAACACTGGTTATTTGCTGCTTTGCTGCCACTTGATTTTATCCTCTGTGAAGTTGTTATATAGAATGAGTAGTTCTCTGAATTTTTACAGCTCTGTTGGATAATGTCTCATTAAAGGACTTTGGATTGGGTTCTTTTTCCCTTTGAACTGAAGACTGACGAGAGGGAGGCAGTTTTCTCTTGTTCGGTCTCAGCAGTTTATTCTTTTCTTATCAGCATTACAAGGTACAAGGAGCTATGTGTACTATGATAGAAAAGGGGTAAAATGGCTAACAAAGATCTTCTTCAAGGTCTTTTATAAGTCCATTTACCCAATTAACAGATGTCAACTAAATTATTTTTCTTAGTGACCCAATGACCCAACAGCTGTGTGTTGCACTGCGGCATTTTTTACCCAATCACTTACTACTACCCAAAAACCCCTAGGAGAAGAACATGAAGAAGAAAGAAGAAGGACAAGAGACAACACCCTAAATCCTCCATCTTGTCTCTTGTTCTCTAAACTACTTTTTCACCCAGTAATTTAAAAAACTTTCTAATTTACACACTTACACTTTTCCTATCTAACTAGCATTTGTTCTCATGTATCACCATGAAAACATGCTCATGAATTTCATATTATATGAAATTCAGTGTTTCCTTGAATCTTAGAACTAAGTATTAGAAACAAGGGCACACACTCTGTATCTTAGACTCCAACATCATAGTATTTCAGAACGAGCTACATAATTCTACTTGCATTAAGAAAATAGCCTTTAGTCAGGCTGGCCCAAAAGTGGCCCAATCTCATACAGTTTTAAATGAAAATCCTTGGGGAAGGCAAATTATCTAGTGTCAAGAGTTCATGTTTAGGTACCACTCCTGCACTCCTAAGCTTTTCTTTCAATCTCCTCTAAAATACTCCAACAAAGAGAAGAAAGTGTTGATTTAAATGCCCACGGGTATTAGAACCAGGGATTTCTTTAGAAACCCGAAAGAAGATGTTTACTAAAATCAGCATAAGGGCAGATAAGAATCTCTGCCAAGAGCAATCTCCATCTCTGCCCTTCTCTTTCAAACACCGAGGCTCTCCAGCATCCAGGGGCTGAGGCCTTCATCATGCAGCAGGTTTCAGTCTGCTGGCCAACAGAGTAATGTCCTGTCTGCTGCCAGTAGCACATCCACTGGGAGAGGGTCTAGGCATATGTACCTTGCTGCTCTCCTACACAATCTCTGTGTCTTATGAGAGCTCTGCAGTCTGGAACCTGTCTTGCCTGTTGCCCACATGGCATTTTTGAGGGCTTGAAGTCTGCCAGAGGTTTACACGAACCTTTGCTTCCATTACCAGGCCTCCCACTGAGCCAAGCCAAGGACTTCTCCTTGCAGCAGAACTTTATCCCAGCAGAACTGGTCTAAAGGAGTGACAAAGACCTGAGGGATGGCTTTGGAAAGGTAAGGGATAAAGACATAGATGAGCAGACTTCCTTCAGAGTCCTTCAGAGTCCCTCAGAACAGGTCAGAGTTCAGAGTCCATCAGAAGCCAGGGAGTGAAAAACAGCTGCAATTCCTGGCCATGAGTGTTAAGCAAGAGCAGTTACCCCTCCTTGCTGCATATTGCACGTGGTTTTTATTCTGCTGCCATGGCCTGTAGGAACTGAACTGCCTGCTCACTGGGCATGTGAGCTCTTCATCTGTCTTGGAGCACCCCGATGACTTTTGTGCTTCAAGCAGGGCTTCCTGTCATAGGTTGCAGTTGGAGCAGTGTAAGGTTGTGGTCCTAAAGTCTTCCACCTCCCTGTGTGTAATTGCCAAGGTGAAGACGGGAGACATTCTTCTGAAACTATTGGAAAGAATATGGAGCTGCATTAAAGGCTGTGGCACTCTATGGACCCTGTGCTCCTGATGAGTTGTTGTGTCTGGTTTGGGTGTCTCTGCTTACATCTGTGATGTATTTCCATTGCAACTAGACCTAGTTGCAATGCATTATGCAAGTTGGCTCAAAAGAACTTAGAGTGGAAGGTTGAGGAGCTTATTGAGGAAGAAGTGAAGAAAAGGACACAAAGGAAAACATCCTTGCAGCTGCCTGCACAGACAGTTGACAGTGGGAATGCAGAAGAAGCAAGTAGGTGGTGGCTACACTTGTAGTCTTTTTTGACCACTCGCTTGCCCTTTGCACAGTGCTGCAATCAGACTGGGGGGCTGCTCTGATTGCATCTGAGTGGAAGCTTGAAGAGGAGTTCTTTCTTCTCCCCCAAGAAATATACAGAAGCCCATAGCCTCACTGAGTCAAAAACAGAATATCAGCTTCCCACCTTCACCTCCAAAGCCTTTCAGAGAAGAAAATTTTGTCTTGCAAAGTTGACTGAGGCTTCAGACTCTCTCCTGGAGAGCAGCCTCCAGGGAAGGGGAGTCCAAAAGAATGCTCTTCAGCCATGGTGGAACTGAGAAGAAACAAAATTCAACTTCTTCTAATGGAAACACCAGAGATCCTCCTCCTGCCACAGCCTGCAGAGGAGCTGGCACTGTAGAGCTGTGCTGAAGCCCCAAGCCAGTGCTTCTGTTGTAGCCCCAGGAGCCAGCAGTGTTCCTGACTGAATCCTGGCTGAGGGGCTCTGACTGCAGTGCTGTGTGTGCTGCCCCCAGGGTGGCAGCAGGGACCTTAGGAGGCATCACTCAGCCCCAGGGCATCACACAAGGCTGTCTGCACTTTCATTTGGTAACTTCCCCAGCCAGCCTCTGAAACAGGAAAACAAAAGCAAAGCAATACCGGGTTTTCCCTGTTTATTAGGGGAAGCATCACTGCAATTTGGTTTTAAATTAGAAGAGAGTAGATTCAGATTAGATACTAGGGGGAATGTTTTTATAATGAAGGGGATGAAGCACTGGAAGGGTTTGCTCAGAGAAGCTGTTGTTGATCCAACCTTGAAAGTGTTCAAAGCCAATTTACATGGGGCTCTGAGGAATCTCATCTAGATGAAGATGTCCCTGCTGACAGGGGTTGGACTAGATGGTGCTTAAAGGTGCCTTCCAACTCAAACTCTTCTAGGATTCTGGGATTCTGGGATCATTGTCCCATGTTAGCGTGCCAGTGTTATACTTGAAGTTCTTTAGGATAACAAAGAGATGTTACCCAACTCCAGCAAGTTTTCTGGCCCTTTCCATCGTCACCCTGTGCAGCAGCCTTCACTTACAAGCTCCTCTTTGGTCTCCCCACAGGCTTTAGCCGACTGCCTATCAATGGCACAGCTTCCAGTGTGCAGAGAAAACACCCTGGTAGTGCCTTGAAGAAGAAGGTCTTGAGGAAGCAGGACAATGTGCCCGTACTGCCCAATATGCCCATCATCCATGGGGATGGCAGCTTCCCACAAAATTCCTCAGGTAAGCCTGCTCCGAGGCAGCTTCTTCCCACACAGGTTTTTCCTGCCCCAAGAAGCCCAAACTGCCACCTGCCTCACCCAGCAGGGTCCCTAGCCTGTCCTGAGAATGAACAGCAAATGTACTTTTGAGTCACTCCAGCTCTGCAGTAGTGGAGCAGCTGGTTCTTAGAGATCCATTGGAAAGTGGAGCTGAATAAAGTAGTGGTGAAGGCCTAAGCTCTGGCTTTTGCCCCACCTGATAGTCCAAACTACAGCACTGGTGCCAGGAGGCAGCTGTAACTGCAGGGATGTGGTGTGGGGCAGTGTGCCAGGGTGTGCTCACTGGGCACCCACGAGTACCACCACGATCAGTTGTCCACTCACCATCTCGGCCCTCTGCCCGTGCTGCTGTCCGGCTCTGCAGCCAGCTTTCTGCTATCCCAGCAAGGGCTGTCTCTGCATGGCAGTCAGCCCTTGGTGCAGTCGTGCTGCTGCTCCCAGAAGTGCCCAGTGGCTCCTCACTGCTGCCATCCCACGGCCTGCAATGCCAAGAGGGAACAAGCAGTGCCTCCTGTGTCCCCCCAGCCAAGTACAGTGGCCGTATGTAGCAGGTGACAGCCGGACGGGGCTGCCTGGTGCTCCCAGGCTGTTTGCTGCCTGCAGTAAATACCCAGCAGATAGTCCCCAGTGGCTCTTCTCTCTCCCTTGTGGGTAGAGTGCCTGTGCTATCATTCCAAGTAGGGAGAAATGAAAAAGAAAGGAGCTAGGATTGATACTTGGAATGCTCTTTTCTAGAGGTGCTACTTCCATGTTCAGAATTGACCAGAACTAGCGTGACATGGCTCTCCATTGGTAGTGAACCTAGATGTGTATGTCTACACACTTCTGCAGTGACATCACTGATGTCAGTGTCTGGGGTACATCAGTGACATCCACATTAGCTCCTGGCTGAATATTTTAGATGTTATGGTATACTTTGTGAGAACAGGCAAGGTAGCACAGAAACCCTGGAGAGTCTAGAGCAGTTCATCTGGGTTCTGTGCAATGTTTATACTCCGTCATTGTAGACAGCTCAGATGTTTTCATCCACACATTAGTAAATGATCTTTTGAGTGCACAACATGAAATTTTGGATGGACAGTGCTTTTGATGACAATTTGGTTTCATAAGAAATGCTTTTATCATCTGATTTTTCTCATACCATGTACATTTTTTTTCCTTACAAAAAAATTCAGTTAAGGAAAAGCCTGGACACCTGATTATCAAGAGCATGTGTCTGGCAACCATTTGCAGCTGTATTTGCATATTTTTATCAGAGTTTGCATTTGGAAGGCTATTTTATCAACTGTCTAGACTGGAAATTGCATTTTTCCACAAGTGAAGGCTTAGGCACTGCTGAGTTCACAAACATGAACATTTGATGACAAACAAATTTCACCTCAGCATCTTTGAAATACAGCCAGTGTGTACCTCTGCAAGAGCAAAGATTCATGATGCTTGGAAAGAGCAAAATCCATAAAGTACTCCCTGGCCAACAGTAGGCTACAATGTATGTGCAGTCAGCTGCCTGCTGTCTAGAAGATTTGAAGGCAATGGAAAGAGAGGCGCTGTCAGGAGTGAAGGGTCAGGTATCGCTGCTCCCTGGTCGCTGCTGCGTGGGGATTCAGCCGGGC